CTTAAAACCAGAATATAGAATATGGACTAGAGTAGCAGACATAGAAGATGAGGTAAAATAAAAACTTATTAAGCTGAATTATTAGAAGGAATTTGGTATATTTCAATTAAAAATGTATTTTTCCTCTCCTTTAAATCTTAACAAGATGTTAAAATCTTCAACTGGGAAAAATGTACTAAAATCACAAGTAAAATGTGGTTTTCATATTATTTGGTAATTTTAACTTATTTATTTATCTAAAGTTAATTTAAATAATTGTCTACTGAAGTGTGTAAGAAAAAACTTGATGTGTAAGGTATTTTAATGTAAAAAATGCCATTCCCCAAATTTCAATTGAAAATGAAAGCTTTTTGAGTTCACATGAAAAAAATGTAGCTTGGATATTATTATCTAAGTTGTGACAAATTCCATAAATAATTAAACGAAAGTGCTACAGAATGATAAAGATCCTCAAAATAATAATCACAATTATAATATGATAAACTAGCAGGAATACAAAGCATAGACATCTACTTAATTTTTTTATAGTTGTTCAACTATCGCTTCAGGATAAATAAATTTGAATTTCCAACAAAGAACTCGAAGACAGTGTAGGAGTAATAAAACTTAACCTAATCATTCATGACCTACAACCAGTCTAATAAATTGCCTCATCAAGCCTTTCTATTGATATGGTGGTGATGAATCCAGGAAGAGTGAAGAACATCTAAAAAATTGGAAGAAACCCTTAAATGTACGAGGGCCTATTTATTTAGAGGCCATGTGATATTTCTCGCTCCCACCATGCCTAACTGGGAGATGACATGGAGTCAAGGAAACATTCCTGGATTAGAAGCCTGGGATGAGGCAAAACTATTCCTGACCATTTTCTTTGCCTTTGAATAAATTACAATACCCACTGGTTTTGGTTTTCTCCTGAGCAGAACATAAAGCGGAAATTTTCTTCTACGTGATTGCTTTCAGAGCTAGCTAGCATTCCATCTATTTAGAAAATGTGTCCAGCATCTCATGATACTTCCCCGAGAGTCTATGAACTATCCCATGCCTCACCTAGTTGTAATAATTGTAGAAATGATACAACAAAGATTCACGTTCTCAAGTAAAAAAGGAAGCATTTGTGGTCGTTTTAGAGAAGAAAAGTGAGTGAATCTTTCGAATACATTGATAGAGAATTCACATGTGAGGCTGCTGACCTCTCATTTGGTCGCCAGCCAGTGTCTCAGCTAATACATCTTCGTGCTGAAACTCAGATGAGGTTGACCATACGAAACTGATGCTTGTGTCACTGAAGAGACATTTAACCATGGGCGTTTTGTGATGATACATTCTTTTGTGTGCAATCATTTTCACTAAACTGAAGGAAGCATACTTGATATGTGTTGTCTTTCTGTGGTAACTTCAAAACCTGATACAACCGATGTCTTCTTTCAATTGCATACTTAGTACGAGGTGAAACTAGTAAAGAAAGCCACGTCTGTGACATAGAACTGAGGTCAGAATATGAAGACAGCAGAGTCCCAGTGTAACAATGGACACTTCATTGGAGATTTTGTAATTTTATCTAAACTGTGGCCCTTATGACTAGTCCCCCTCCTCTTGCTCTACCCCCTCCATGGGAAATTGCACTCCATACATTTCATAGGCTAGAAGTTCATTTGTGTGGTGTATCGCCTATCATAATTATTAACACAGGTCTAGTGGCAAAGTTCTATCTATTTTGAGAAGGCCAAGGTTCCGGGATTATAAAGTATAGTTAATGATTGATAAAGCAGTTTGAAATTGCAAGGTATTGACAGACATGATAGATTTGGAGAAAAATGTATAATTTTCACTTGGAGCAGTTTTTGGTATAATGTTTGCTATAAAACACAAAGTGTTAAAGGCCTAAGCTCAGCCCCACTGAGTGTATACTGCCCATTTATTGTGCTGTATGTATTGTAAAAATCAAATCTGGACTACAATGTTTTTACAAGAATATAATTTTCTTAGCTTGTTTTCACTGTAGCATTAATGGTCCATTTTAGTAAGTGGCTCAAATAATCAAGGGAGTAGTGTAATCATGCTTTTTTACAGAGTTTTCTGAGATATTGGCCAAAGAACGAGGGGAAGACATCAATTTTTATGATGTTTTTAATATCTACTATAAAGATACCACATGCAATAAATTGGATTTATAGAAACTACTAACAGTGTAAAGTTATTTATCAGTCCACTGCTTCTATACTGGACAGAAAGAATAAGTGGTTAACCATTTTATAGGTGATAAATTATTTTCAAACATAATTGCCCAATGAAGACAGAGGAAAACTGTACAAGATACCAGGATTAGTACTATAGTTACTACTTGTTGGAAAAGGTGAGGTTTACTTTTAATAAATACGTTTCACTTTATTTCACATGCTCTATCAAACCACATCTTCCTTAATATATAAGTAAATATATATTTCTTATTTCATTAAGTTCAAATTGTGGCAGTGGCCAAAACCTATTGATTGATAAATATTTATTGCATAAACAAATTAGTTCTGAGTGCTAATCATCATCATCGTTTGATGACTAAGAGAAAGAAGTGTTTTCTTTTCCCTCCCACCAGAATAGTAAACCATTGGGTCAAAGTTATTTTGTACTTTTCTACATAAATATAATGTCACGTGTACAACAATATTATCAGAACAAAAAATTGGGGACATAAAAAATAAATCCCTTCAGGTAATCTTTCCATGAAATGTGTACGTCTTCCAGACTTTCTCTGCTCTCAGAAGATCCTTTATGACTTGCGTTGGGTTCCTTGACCACTGCTTTCTTCCAACCTGATACGGAAACTGTGACCATCTTCGTCCGCCGGTCTAGATCTGGATGGAAAGCTGACTGAGTCAGTTTCAGAAGGAGCCGAAAGATGTCTTTGGTTCATAGCAGTCACTCCCTCACAATGAAAAAGTCACATGTATATTAAAGAAGAACACAATTTCTGAAGGGAGAAAAATGCTTGCAAAGCGTAGAGGCATCTTCAGTCAAAACCCTACAAGCTCGAGTGAGTTGGATACACGCCTATGACCACTCTACTTACTCCACTGGTGCTGGTTTTATGACCTTCCAGCAGACTGGTTCAGTAAGTTTTCATCTTTGGTTTTTGCAGAATATGTATCTGCTTGTCACTGATTACAGTGTGCTTTGCCTTATGCCAAGTATATTAGGTTAATATAAATTCTCCTATCTGGCCATTTAGCAATTTTGACTTAGCTGCAATTTTAAGTATAGTTAGAGGAGTATGCTAGAATAAATCTCCAAAAATTTATCATGAAATCTTTTACAGCATTATTCTCATTGTGATGAGATTGGGTTAAGGACATGGGAAGGAAATTTCTCTCTGACTCTTTTTTATGACATTATTTTCTGAATGAACCGGCCCAAGGTTACGCCTGATCTTTGGGACCCCCTCAGTTACACTCACTGGTAATGACAAGCAAACAGTGTTCTGGAGACTGCTTCATGCAGGAATCGTGTCTCCCACCAAACAGACACAAGAGCAGACTCGTCTAATTAGCAGAATCCCCCCGGACCCGCTGTCTGTGCTTCTGGCACATTAATAAAGCTGAGACATATACCAGGACCACTGAGGATCTGTCCCCCTAAGTTCCACGTAGAAACTTGTGGTCTGTAAGCATCAACTCGACCGAGTGAGCCACGAGAGGCTTGCTTTGAGCGTGGCACCACTGGGAGCTGTGCTCAAATGGTCTCAGCTGGGAGTTGCTCTGGTGTGTTTCACTAGCGACATTTCAAAAGCAAATGCCATGTGCTAAAGTAATTCAGAGGTGTTCAACCCTGAAAGCTGGGATTTCAGGGAAGGCTGTATCATCGTCAGGAACCAGTCATCCGCTCTTCTGCTGTGTCAGCAAAATTCACAGTGCAGAGCATTTGAGTAATTTTCTTTTTATCCCTGAAAGCTTAGGATAATTATTTTTCATAGCCACATTAACTCTTATGATTAGCATCTTGAGGGCATTTTCAGACTTATCTGAGATGTGGAAAATCTAGGCAGTTGATATAAATGCAAATTTATCACGGAGGGACTGAATACCTCTTTTACCACTAGTAACTCTCCACAATGAATTGTGACTCTGCATTCAAGCTATGGACATGGATGAAAAAAAGTCTTATCACAGATCAGCAAAAAAAAGGTACCCTTTCAACAGACTAACTTTGAAAGCTTAAACAATTTTTGATATTGAAAAAAAAATCAGGTTTTCATCTTACATGACCTGGGCTCGCTGTTCTTTAAATCCACCTTTGGAGTATTTATGAGCTGACCATCTTAGGCACGTGGCATCAGATAATTCGGGCAGAATGATTTTTATTTTTACTTGAGTAAACTCCAAAACTAAGGGCAAAAATATCTATGTTGACCCAAATTAGCCAAACTTCCCCAGTTCACGTGGAAATCACCACATCCCTTTAAATCTAGTAGGTTTGTCATTAGTCTCAGGAATGAAAAAAAACTTTTTTTTTTTTTGATCTATTTTCTCTTATAATCCCAGCCAACCCATATCCAGTTAAAGGAAAGTAAAGCCCAGCCAATTCTGGTTACACAGTAAATTACAAGCCCCTGATGGCTCTCTGGGAACAGCATCTGTGACACATAAAATGATACCTACAGTCCTGTCCCTATTGTTGGTCTCCTGACTGCAAAATGTCTGATTTCATTTAAAGTGTACTTTTATCTCTTTCTTAAACAGATCGTCATTTAGAGTCCTTCTTTTCCTTGAGGTTAAATGAAAGCCAATCGAGGATCACACCCAATCTTCCCCACGTAGCTCAGAGGGGGCCAAAGGGAGAAACATTGTCACCAACAAGGGATTACTGAACAGAAAGTGCAGTGACGTGACGTGCAGGACAGCCAGACTGGTTCCTTCGCTTCCAAAGTGGTCCGCCTTTTCACATCGTCACCTATGTTTCTCACAGGAGCAGACATGACTACATAAATACTTTGCTAATAAGAAGCCTTTTTTTTTTTTTTACAGCACTATTTTAAAAATAGCTATTCAACATAACAATCTTAATTTTAATGCACCAAATAACAGTTTTCAACAATTTAAGTGAGCATATGCTGTCACTCTCAGCACACATTGATATATACTTGTTAGATATAGATGGATACAGCAATATCCATATCTATATTTGTCTACAGACACACACACACAGAGCACACACACAGAATCGAGCTACAAGGCCCTGCTTAAGAGTGTGTTCTAAATTTCGTGGGTGTGTTCCCTTGTCGCTGGGCTTATTTATATGGAAAGTTGTGATGCCATTTGTAGAGCTTACTGGATTTGTCCCTGTCGAAACCCTCCAAGCCACAGAACTTGTGGTGGGTCACCTTTCTGTCTAAGGACAGACCTCTCCTCAGGTGGGAGGACTGAGCCAAGGAGGACAGGGGCAATGCCTTCACCCAGGTATAGTCCAGCGTGGGCGACTTCTCACCCTGCCCAGGCTTCTGCTACTGTCAGACTCAAAGGATTTTGTTTAAATGACTGTTCAGACGATTTGGATTCTATTTTTGTAAAACATAGACTCCCCCGCAAGAAACTCAATAAATAAAGGACTTAGCCACGGAATCAAGGAAGCAGAACTCCAGTTTTTAACCTTCCACTGGGAGCGGGGATAGACCCGACCCATTTCAGTGTTCCCTGCAATTGGTCCTCCGCGAGGCAGAGGGCGTGATGGCCCCCAGGCAGGTCCGGACAGACTGTCTCTCTGGTCTCAGCATCTCTCTGGGTGTCATTGGATAAGGCTGGAGCTGTAGCTGAAGCCGTAGCTGCTGGACCGGGACAAGGACGGCTGTGTCTCTTCGCTCTGCTCCGAGGCGTAGCTGGGAAACGTCTGTGCGCGTGACATCTTCGAGGACCCGAACCCGTGACCTGGAGAGAGAAAAAGGAAGGAGAGCTGTACCAAGAAACTGACTCCAAAAAGCGCGAGGTGAGTAGGTGAAAATGGAGAAACGGCGCCTGGTTCCTTGGTGAGTTAAAAATGTCTGCAGGGCTCAGTAGTTTCCTTAGTGTGTCTTCTCAAACATTCTGGATGCCAGAGAGCTCGGGATCTCAGACTTATACTCTATTTCAGCCTTTGGAACAAAAGCACAAAAAGCTTCCCCTCCCCCCCCCAAAAAAACAAGCTGTTTTTGCTGGAGAACCTGTAAGCGCTTTCTTTTCTTTGATACTCACTTTTCCGCGTACAGAAGCAAATGACATACTTATTAAAACCTTTTGAGCAGTCATGCTACACTTTATCCTAACCCGTCGCCATCAGTTATCAGGAAGAAGCTTTCACAGTGATTGCGTTTCAGGCCCTGTGGCTTCGCCTGGCGGGTTTGTGAGTAACCGAGCCCACTTCAGGACATGGTTAACCCAAACGATAAACCTTCATGGTTACTAAAATGGCCTCAAAGTTAAGTCTAATAGGAAATTTATTTCTGTGATTTTATAGTTCAGATGCACCCCTGCGACGAGAAATTTGTTTAATGCAAAATCCAGAAATGATTACTGGAAAACTAGCAGAATGCTAACAACGTAGGGAGAAAGGATGCGTTCTAGGGCTTCAGGTGAACTTCCCAGGGGTCTCCCCATCCTTCTTAATCAGTCAGTAATTGTTCTTCACACGTGAGAATGATTATCTAATGGATGAGCTCAGTGGGGAGAGAAGAAAAAATAGATACAGTGTGCTCTGCCCTCTCAGAGCTATTTCACTCAAAGCAAAAGATGTATTGAGTTTGGTTTATATTTTTTCTCGTCTCTATGGTGAGGAATCCAGGGAAGATGATTAACACAAACATCAGACATCTCATCAGGCTCCTCAGGTGGGGCTGGTGTTTGCAAGGTCATGCACTAAAAGCCAGTTTTCATCGTCAGGTGTGTTTGGTGACTCAGAATCTATTCTTGTCGAGTCTGAAGCTTGGGAACCAGGGAGGAAATGCAAATGCATTGGGCAATAAAAAGGTAATTAAGATGGTAGAACCTCAGTGTTAAAAAGTCGTGAGAGCAAAATCTTGCTTTCGAGATAAAAATCATGTTAGTTTCATCGTTGGCCTCGTCCTCTCATTAAGACTCAGCAGCAGGTCACGGAGGACAGGCCTGGGCGTTTCCTACTGAGGCCGTCCCGTCTGCTCCTGTGCTTCTGCCACCCAGCCTCCTGCTTCTGAGTTTCCAGACCTTTCTGCTCCCTTCCCTCCCTCTCCCAGGGTCCAGAAACCCCATTTCCTTTCTGTGCTCCTTCAGGCCTGAGGGGGGCAGGGCTGCCCTGCCGTTGCCATCTCTCACATCTCCTTACTGATTCAGTAATTGGACCGACAGCTGATTTAAGGGTCTAATTGAATTCCATCATCAAATTCTCATAAAATCTCAGCTAAGTGTGTCTTCTCTTTGCTGTAGGACCCTGAGGACACAATGAGGAAGACGAAGCCGGGGGTAGGCAGGAGGGTTTGTTCGTTAGAGGCGAGATGAGCTTGGGGACTTAGGAGTTAGAGCTCCAGGCACACATGCTGCCCCTGTGGCTAACTCGTTGTAACTGATCTTGAGAGACTTACTTGGTCTCTGGGTTTCGCTGCTTCCTTTTCTGCACATTCTGGATGACAAAATGGTATAATATGGTGCTTTTGAGTATTAAATCAATGTGTATCAATTAAATTCATACATGTTAAATGCATCCCCACAGCAAGAGACGGATGCCATGAGGGACTCTATCCAGCACGGCCATCCATAGGGGGCAGTCCATGAAGGCTTCCCTAAGGAGGTGGCCTTTTGACATGATGCTTATACGACAAGGCTGTGATACACTAATCCGATATGGGGAACATCACTTAAAATGTTAACAGTTTGCCTCCTTATCTCACCATTGACTTGCTGGATGATAGTTCAGTTCCCGTAAGAGGAGAGATTGGCGTTCATGAGCACAAACCAGTTGGAAATCCTAATATTAAGGCCATGTTCCTGGCCTTGGTTTTATCCTGTCATTTAAAAAAATGTTAGAAATATCTGAAAGAGAGCAATGCGAGAGCACACCTTTAATTCACATTACTTGTGGTCTAAAGGCTAAGGTTTAAGTCATGAATATAGAATAGTCCTTGCCTTTGCACACAGAATCTAGAATCTTGGGGGTAAAACTTCAAGCATGCAACTAAAATTTGCCAAGCATCTACTAAAATAGTTCAGGACTCCACAGGGAAGACAAAGTAATGGAAGCCTTGGTTCCTGAGTTTTCAGAGTTCACAAGCTGCTTTGGGGAATGGTCATCAGACAAGGATAGATAACAGTAAACATCAAATGAAGCCAGTGCTGTATGGGATCAGAGCAGGATGCCAGCGGAGCTTAGAAGAGCTGGTTACAGAACTGTACACTTCAGTTCAACAATCACCAGAGACCTCTGCTCCACGGAGTGTGTAGACACCACCACCACGGACTCTGAAATTGCTGAGTCCAAAATCCAGCTCTACCATTCCCTTTCTGAGCCTCATTTTTTTGCATGGAAAGAACATACTTTCCTAAGGTATTTTGAGGGTTTAACAAAACAACATACAGGAAGGCACCTGGGATGGTAGGTACCTAATAAATGTTAGTTTTTATCCCTTGTTTCTACGCGGAATGTGTCCACGCTTTTGTCCGTTTTCTTGTTCAATGTCTATACTTTGTATACCCTCGCAGTACGCTGTTCTCACTGTGACAGGTTTGGAATATTATTTTCCTTCAAGGTCATCTTGAAGATTTCTTCATCTCCTCTACAAACAATTTCTAGTCTAATTGGAGATTGAATGATGTTTTTTCTTACCTCAACCATTTCTTTACAGACAGTTCACAAATGATGCTGTTTCTGCTTATCACAAAAATAACCTACCTCAATCAGAGCTGAACATATGAAGGCTTAATAAGTGCTGTTTGATTTTGGCAACAATGAGTATGAGAACAAAAGAAGTAATTAATCATTTTCTCAACAGTTATTTGAATTGTGCCCTTAGGCACTGTTGATGAAAACAAAACAAAACAAATCAACTTTGTGGCTTAAATTAAAAACTTGCTGGACTAGACCTGTTCATTCCACTCAACAGAGACCCTATTTAAATCCTTCCTAAACTTTCCCCTCCAGACCATCCCCTGAAAGACAGACTCTGGGCGTCTGGGGGATGCTGCAATTTGCAAGTAACAAATTTGTTCATAGCCATCAGTCTATCTTAAAAGTCCTTTTGAATTTTCATTTCTACTCCACTGTATATTCATGTCTGTTTTAATAGAAAATAATATTTTCTACCCATATATTCAGGTAACATTGACAATCTGGGAGAGGAACATATCATATTTACCTGGTCTTTTGAAGTATACTCTGAAATGACACTTCATACCATCCCCTACCCCCTTCCCTCCATGGCAAGTATATGAGCCCCAGATGGAGAAACGTGGGTCCACCCCAAAAGGAAGGACATATATTGGATACAGAGGCATTTAAGACATTTGTTTATTCTAACAAAATTACATGACTTCTCCTGGAAACTGAAGAGTACCACGTGACAAGAAAGGTGAAGTGACTCTAGCCATAGAAGGAAAACTTCCTGCTGCATCATGAAAGATTCAAACCAGGAATAAACTAGATGGAACACAATGCAGTAGAAAATAACTACCAAATCGGAATGCAGGACTAGAGATTCACATCACACCTAGGAGAAAAAGTGAGGAATGGCAGGCTCTTGTAGATATCTTGTTCTCTTTCCTGAGGGATAAAGTAGTACTTTGCTGCCTTGCACAGAGTTACCACTGCTCATCCTCTTTCTGCCACAGCTTCTAGTTTTCCATACTTACTAACACCGATTTTATTCTTTACATAAAATATAAAGGAAATTGTTTTGGAAGGAAGTCAGAAGATTCCCAAAGCATAAAACTTGTGGTCGTTAATTGGTAAGAGGCGATGCCCCAGTAATGCTACGTGCTGAAGTGAATTTGTGTGTTTTATTAGTTTGTTAGAATCTGGGGGACAGGAAAGAGT